CCCCCGCCCCCACCTCACCCCCTACCACACCCAACATACTGCAGCTGCTCACGGCTTCGAGGCTGGTCAGCTGGGATGGCCAGAAAACTGGGACCTCCCCTGGTCGACACTCCACGGGGTCTCCATAGTCGGGTTGGGAGAGATCTGTGATCCCCAGCAGGTCTGCAGATGAGAAAAGAAAGCGTAGTTCAGCCGGGTCCTGCACGGGTAGGTTCCAGGAAAAGAGATGTTGAATAGACATGTGTGTCTCTCCCTCCGAAGGGGGTGCCAGCTGCAGGGCCGTATGAAGTGGTGTTTGGGTTGGAGAAGGGAACAGGAATGGAATGAATGGTTCAGGGTGTCTGATGTTTACAAGCCAGTCTGGGCGGTGTGGTCTCAGGAATTCCTGATTCTCCTGACCTGGACCCTTTAGCCCAGCACCTCATAGTACCAATTGTTAACCAAGTCAGCACCTGGGAGTCTACCTGGGGACAGACTGAGTTACCTTACACAAATCCCAGCTCTCTCATTGGTCACCAACAGTGTCCCTATCCCTGACCGGCCACCAAAGGCCTGAGAAGCACAGCATAGAGAGCTGTGTTGGGCCCAATTCATTCCCAGATGACGGAGTTCAGCAGGTACCACATGGCTGGGTGTCCCTCCTACCACACTCCATGCAGGAGACAAATGCTGATTCTACGTGGGTCAAATTCAAGGTGCTGCTGACCTCCTCCATCACATAGCTGAGCCAGTGCCTTCACAATGGGTTCTGCCTGTCCCTAGGCTCCCAGCATGCCTTCGGAGGGTCTCCGAAGGCAGACTCAGAGGGCCCCAGGGCAGACTCAGATGTCCAGCTTTTGGCCCTCAGATTGCCTGCTGACACTCAGGACGAGCTGGTTCTAAAGGTGTCAGTCTGAATTTGCGTTAGAGACAAAGCCTTCTGCATATCAGCCCAAAGGGGAGTTGAACTCAAGAATCTGGGCAGATGACCCTCCCCTACCGACTTCCTACACAAGGCTAATGGACGTTCATAGGTGGCCAAGGGTGAAGGCTGGCATTCTACCACCGTGAGCACCTTTAGACCAATAATGTTTAGACCTGACATAACGCTGTTAGTACCTTCAACCCCAAGAGCCCTGGGAGAGAGGATGAGCGGTGAGAGCCAGGACCAGGGCAAGTTCAAGTCTGATTCTTAGGTGTGAGTCTGAGTGAGGCTGAGGGAGCCAGGAACGAAAGTGGTCACTGACCTGGGTCTCCGATGTGGACAGGTTGGCCATGCTCACCCCCCATGGAGCAACTGGCCTGCACCAGCCTCTCCAGGTCGTCCTTGGGGATGGATCTCATTGTGACCACCAGGGGGCAGCAAAACCCAGCAATGGAGGCACAAGGCACAGTTGTCTGATGAGAAAATCAAACGGAAAGAAAAGAATTAGCAGCATTCCAAGATCTGAGCATCAGACATTCAGGGCAGCAGAAGGAGGAGGGAGGTCCCTGTAACTGCTACAAAAACATATGCACCTTAAGGTCACAGAGTGTAGGGAGATGGGGAAGTTTGCTCAGAGTAATTGGTCTGAAACAGGGACTTGTAACCTCTTGGGTGGCTCGTCTGCAGAAGCTGTGGAGTCCTTCTGCTCTAAGCAAGCATTGTAAATACAGACAAGGAAATGCGTACGATTGCAAAGAAAACAGTGGCATTGTGAGTCCAGTTATCCAACTAAGAAGAAATGTGATACCAAGATATATGTCCTTCTTCTACGGATTAAATAAGGCAGTAGAGGGAATAACTTTTAGCTGTTTTGAAGTTGTTGATGTGTGCTGTGGACTCAGAGCTGACTGGTAGCTGGTTCTCTAGTGGGTTTTCAGAGGCTGTGAATCACACAGGAGGAGAGTGCCCATCCATTTCTCAAGGAAGAGGTGGTGGGTTTGAAACACATGCCTTTGGGATTGCAGCTCAGCCTCTTACCACCAGGATACCGGAGCTCCCTATTTTGAAATAGTCACCAGCTTGAAGGATATTACTGAGGCATCTGGAACAAAGGCCAAGTGATGCTTGTGTCTTCTTTTGGCTGCTACCACATCACAACGTTTGCTAATGAAAATGCCTTCAGCTAGAGGTGTATGAGAAGAAGCAGTCAGGAACCAAATTGTTGAGGAGCAATAATGTCAGTTGAAGGACTAAGGTGTGCCTGATTCAGGCCATAGTCTCTCCAATCACTTGCTATGCATCTGAGAGCTGGACAGGAAATGAAGGATGACAGAAAAAGAATTGATGCCTTCGAACTGTGGTGCTGGAGAAGAGTGTTGAATATCTCATGGAAAGCCAAAAAAAATAAACAGATACATCTTGGAGAAGGTGCAGTCAGAGGGCTTCTTGGAGGCAAAGATGATAAAGCTTCATCTCACACACTTTGAGCATGTTGCCAGGAGAGGCTGTTCCTTAGAGAGGGACATCATGCTTGCAAAGGTGGAGGGTCAACGAGACAGAGGATAGCTTTCAACCAAGTGGATTAACAGTGACTGCAGCAATGGGCCTGAGTGTGTCAGAGACTGCAAGGAAGGCACAGGACAGAGTTCACAGCTGCTGTTCACAGGGTCACTATGAGCTGGGCACGGCTCAACAGCCCCTGACAACCACAGAGCTTATGAAAGTCAAATTGTCTTCATTCCTTATCCAATCTAAGGGATCGTCTGAAAATGATCTGTGGACTTGGAAGGGCCCACGGGCCACTGGGAAAGACCCTTGGGGACAATAAGAGGGAGAAAAGGTCATGTGGGAGCAGGAGAAACGTGTGTCCCTCTGCCTCCCAAATTCAATGGAATCTGTTCTCAGACCCCAGTGTAGCCCAGCCTCACTCCTTCTTCCTCAACACTGGACTTGGCTGTGTATTTTCCTTAATGGCTTCTGGACAAAGCTTCAGGACACGGCCAAGACTACAATGTACTGGGCCAATCCTGGTCAGGTTTTCCCAAGGGGCCTGCTGGTACCGTCCTGGTGGCAGGAGAGGAGAAGGTGTGACGGCCAGCAGGGTGTCGGCACAGCAGCGCTGGAGGGAGAGGCCACAGGCCAGGACACAGGGGGAAGTGTCCCCTGGGCTGTGACGTCAGCACTGTTAACACTGTAGCATAGTAATATTATAATATTAACATCCACACACAACAATATGAAATGATTAAAGTGATTAACTGTAGCTAACTAAGATTGTTGCATAATAACATATCATTACTGTAATTGCATAAGGAGCCCTGGGGATATAGCATAACGCATTGCTGCTTAACCGCAACATCAGCAGTTTAAATACACCAGCTGGGCAGAGGTCTCCAGTAAAGATTGAGAGCCTTGAAAACCCAGCTGAGGGTCACCATGAACTGGAACCACTTGAGAGCCATGGGTTTAGAATTACACGGTAATACTACATCATTGCACAATAATATCATGAATACGCTATTAAGGCGTTCTGGAGCAGCGCTCGCTGCTAACCTGAAGGTTGGTGATTTGGACCCACCCAGTGGATCCTTAGGGGGCTCTGGTGGTCAGGAGCTGTGCTGCCAACCCGAAGGCCAACGGTTCGAACCCACCAGCTGCTTTGCAGAAGATGGGCAATCTCCTCTGGTGTGATTAACAGCTTCTGAAAATCTGCAGGAGGATCAGCTCTGGATGAGTTCTAACTCAAGGGTACATGACACCACCACCACCACGGTGGGTCCTTAGGACAAAAGACCAGACCCACGAAAGGGACAGTCTAGAAACTCCATGGGCAGCCCTACCTGTCCTTTGGTCACCACCAGTCAAAACCCGACTGACAGCTCCTAACAGCATTCCATCAGTAATAGAATTCATGATAATATTATTACACCTGTCTGATTCAGGTCATGGTCTTTCTGATTCCTAACAATGCATCCGAGACCTGGAGGATGACTAAGGATGATATAAAAAGAATTGACACCTTTGAGCTGCGATGTTGGAGAAGAGCACTGAACATGCCACTGACTGACTGCCAGGAGAGCAAACAACTGTGTCTTGGAGAGGGTGCAGCCGGAGTGCTCTTTGGAGGCAAGAGTGATGAGGCTTCACCTTGTATACTTTGGACGTGTTACTAGGAGTGGCATGTTGTTTGGAAAGGGACATGATGCTGGGAAGAGTGGAGGGTCGGTGAAGGAGAGGAAGCCCCTAAACCAGGTAGATTGACACGGTGACTGCTGCAATGGGCTCTTGTGTATCAGGAAGTATGAGGATGGTGCAGGATAGAACAGGGCTCAGATCTTTTGCTCATAGAGTCACTGTGAGTTGTACTCAACGGCACCCAACAACAACAATAATATTATATTGGGGGGGTTTGGTGGCCTAGTGGTAAGGAGCTGCACTGTCATCTCAAAGGCATGTGGTTCAAAATCCACCAGCTGCTTCACAGGAGAAAGATGGGCAGTCTCCTCTCGTGTGATTTACTGCCTCTGAAAATATACCGGAGGGTCAGTTCCAAGTGTTGGTTTTGTTAAGTGCCATCGAGTCGTAGGCGACTCATAGCGACCCTATGACCAAAAGACCTGAACGCTTGTAGAACTTTCATCTTTTCTCCAGGTTCATAGGGTTTTCAGAAGCAAGCTATTTCGGAAGTGGATGCCACTCCTGCTTCCAAGCTTGTTTTAATTGGGAAGCTCCACCAAACACAGTATACAAAAACAATAACAATAACAACAGTATTATATCAAAATCCTCCAGCTGCCCGTCAGGAGAAAGATGGGCAGTCTCCTCTCGTGTGTTTACAGCCCCTGAAAACCTGCTGGAGGGTCAGCTCTGGGTCAGTTCCGGCTCAACGGCCGTGAGTTGAGTTCTGAGCATTATAGTTTAGATCTTACTGTACAGGAGCGTCATAGCGCCGCTCTTTCTGTGCTTGTTTGGGATTGTGGTGTTGACCCCAACTCACAGTGACCCTGTGAGCAACAGATTGAAACCTTGCCCCACCCTGTACCGTCCTAGCAATCTCTGTCACACTCAAGGCCATCAGTGCTGTCCTGAGTCAATTCAGCTCTCCTTCTCTGACCGTCTACTTTTCCAAGCACAGGAATAATTATTACTACATAATAGCACCTTATTATTAAAAGTAGTACATAATGACTTATGCATTGCAAATACGTTTTACAAGAAACATAAACACAGGTTATACACATGGATTTCACCTGACGGTATGCATAGAAATCAGATCGATTACACGTGCGGAAAAAACCGCTGGAGAAGCTCAATATCAGCTGTGACAACTAGGCCCGGAGCTGATTGTGGAACAGACCACCAACTACTCATGCAAGTTCAAGCTGAAGTTGAGGAAAATTAAACCAAATCCACAGGAATCAAAATACGACTTTGAGTTCATCCCACCTGAATTTCAGAATCATCTCAGGAACAGGTTTGAGGCTTTGAACACCAGCCTTGAAGACCAGATGAGTTGTGGGAGGATGTCAAATGTATCATCCAAGAAGAGTGCAAACGGTCATTACAAAGACAGAAGAGAAAAACAAGACTAAAATGGATGTCTGAAGAAACTCTGAAGATTGCACCGGAGCGTAGAGAAGCCAAAGCACAAGGAAGAATTCAAGATACTAAAGAGCTGAACAGAAGATTCCAAAAGGCATCATGGGATGACAAAGCAAAATATTACAATGAAATGTGCAAGGATCTGCAGTCAGAAAATCAAAAGGACTGAACTAGCTCAGCATTTCTTAAGCTCAAGGAACTGAAGAACAAATTCAAACCCCAAATTGCTATAATCAAGGATGCTTTAGGAAGAATATTAAATGATCCAGGAAGTATTAAAAGAAGATGGAAAGAATATACTGAGTCACTGTACCAAAAGGAATTGGCAGACACAGAAGAATTTCATGAAATAACATATGAGCAAGAGTCTACAGTGATGAAGGAATAAGTTCAAGCTGCTTTTAAGGAAATAGCAAAAAATAAGGCCCCAGGAATAGATGGCATTCCAATTGACATATTTCAGCTAACAGATGCTGCCCTGGAAGTGCTCACCAAGTTGTGCCAAGAAATCTGGAGAACAACCACTTGGCCAACTGACTGGAAGAGATCTACATTTGTTCCCATTCCAAAGAAGGGTGACCCAACAGAGTGTGAAAACTATAGAACAATATTTTTGATTCCACATGCAAGCAAGATTCTACTGAAGATTATCCAAAACCAACTTAGCACACCAACAAAGAACTGCCAGAAGTCCAGGCTGGTTTTAGAAGGGGCCGTGGTATTAGGGACATTGTAGATGATGTTAGATGGATCTTTGTTGAAAGCAGGGAATACCCAAAGAATGTATATCTGTGTTTCATTGACTATGCAAAGGCGTTTGACTGTGTGGATCATAACAAACTGTGTCTGACTCTGAGAAGAATGGGAATCCCAGAACACTTGATCATGCTAATGTGAAACCTATACTTGGACCAAAAGGCAGTCATCAGAACAGAGCAGGGAAACACTGCATGGTTCAAAATTGGGAAAGGTGTATGCCAGGGATGTGTCTTATCTCCATACCTTTCATACTGAATGCAGAGCAGATTATCTGAGAGGCTGGGCTCTATGAGAAGTGTGGCATCAGAATTGCTGGAAGATTTATCAACAATCTGTGTTATGCAGATGACACAACCCTGCTTGCTGAAACTGAGGAGGACCTGAAATGCTTGCTGCAGAGGGCCAAGGACTTCAGCCTTCAGTATAGACTGAGGCTCAATGTCAAGAAGACAAAGATTCTCACCACTGGACCAATTGACAGCATCAGGATAGATGGTGAAGAGATTACGATTGTTAACAACTAACTTTAGTCTGCTTGGCTCCACGGTCAACACTCTTGGCACCAGTAGCCAAGAAATAAAAAACGGTATTGGGATGGGAAAGTCTGTTGTGAGGGACCTCTCCAGGGTACTGAAGAGCAATAGTGTCACTCTGGAGACTAAGGTGCATCTGATACAGGCTATGGTCTTTGCAATCACTTGTTATGCATCAGAGTTGGACAATGACTAGGGAGGATAGAAGGAGAATTGATGCCTTTGAGGTGTGGTGCTGGAGAAGAGTATTGAGAATACCATGGACTGCTAGGAAAACAAACAGATTCATCCTGGAAAGGGTTAAACCAGGCTGCTCCTTGGAGGCAAGGATTCTGGGGCTTAGTTTGACATACTTTGAACATGTTATAAGGAGGGACAGATCCTTGTAGAGGGACATCATGCTTGGGAGGGTGGAGGGACAGCGCAGGAGGGGAAGACCCTCTATGAGGTGGATTTATTCAGTGACTGGGGTAATTGGGATGGGTGTGTCAGAGGCAGTGCAATTGGCACAGGACAGAGCAGTGTTTAGGGCTGTTGTACATAGGGTCGCTATGAGTCGCAAGCGACTCGACGGCACATAACAACAACAATAGTATTATATAGTAAGATACTAATTGCCAATATATTAGTATTATTTCTATGTCAGCAGTGAATATTGACATTGTTATTATCACCAAAATAATAGCAGTTGGGTTGCTTTAATCCCATAAGGCTGAATCCAGGGTGGCTACCGGGCTATTTCTCCCATAAGTCCACGGGCAGGAGTGTCAACATTTAACAGAAAGGTATTGAATAGTCAGTCGGGACAGCGAGGGATTGTGGGGAAACTGTGGCGCTGAGACATCAATGTGAATGTCACTCAATGATCACAACTCTTATTACTGACATTTTTTGAGTGGGAGCCAGGAGTCCTAGGCTCCGGTCTGGCTTTGCAACTTGCAGGGCAGTTTCTCTCTCCAGCTAAAATGACAGGCTAGTGAGGAACCGTGAGCCCTCCTCAAGCCACCTTTTGACCCCGAAGCTACAGACAGTGGTGGGTCCCAAGGCTGAGCACAGCCTGGCCGCAGTCAACAACAACCGTCAGCTGCCATGGCCCCAGCTTCTAGAAAACGTCTCACAGGAAATGACCACACTGTGGGCAGCCTACTTCTGATCACAGGCCTCTCTGGAAAGAGCCCAGAAGGAGCATTAAGGTCCAGAGCCTGAGAGTAAATCTTTCATCTGGGTCCCATTTATAGAAAGACATTCATAGGCCAGCCACTTCTGAGCAGAGCTTCAACTTCACCAACAAATTGGCCAGGAACCTAGGGGCTTGGAGCGAAGGAGTGTAGTCTCCCCTTTGGACAAGAAAGGGCTGGGAGAAAAGTCACCTCAGGGCCCCAGCAGGGAGACCCCACCTCACTCTAGGTGAGGGACTATGTGGAGTCTGTGACCACCAGTTGCCAGAACTTCTTAGCAGACATTGCCAGCCTCGAACTCTCAGAGCTGACACATTGTCCCTGAGGGTGTGTCCATCCCCACCCAGGAGAGTTTTCAATCACCTTGTGTGCCCGAAGTGAAGAGGTAGACAAATTCCACAGGGGTTTTGACTGACACAGTCACAACAGCCCATCCCCAAATCTCACTTTCGGGGTCACTGAGTGCTCTACTTTGGGTGCTCAAGCTCCCTGAGACAGATTGGGCAGAGGCTGGAGCCCCAGGTTCTGAGACCTGACGGCTCGGCTGGGTTGCACAGCCAGAATGAATATCCCGGGCCAGCTCTCTCCCTGACTCAGGGAAATAAACATCAACCCACATTTCCAAGGCCCCCTTACCTTGTACTCAGCGACGTGGCCTGCTGGGTATCTACTGGGGAGTCCCGCCTTCTCGAAGGCCTTCTCCGGGGAGAAGCTGTGGCCCAGAATGAAGGTTACCATGTCCTCCAGCTGCTCCGAGCACTCCTCCAGTGAGGTCAGGCTGCCCATGCAAACACCTGACTCGTATTTCCAGAACTGGGGACTGCCCAACCTGGAGACACAGGGGTCCCAGACCCTCAGTGTAGCCCCAGTGACTGCAGAGGGGAGGCGGCATTTTGTGCTGAGAGTTCAGGCCAGGACACTGGGGTTGGGGACACAGTTCTGAGCAAGGAGTCTAGCTAGTTTCCTCCAAAATTTATCATCATATTAAAGACATAAGTTAGCAACTGTGGGCTGTCTCTCCCCTCCTGTCCTCATTGCATTTTGCACAGCTCTCAACCTGAGTGCTCTGGTGGCCTAGTGGTAGAGAGTTGCACTGCTTACTTTGAGACACCCAGTTCGAATGCACCAGCAGCTCCATGGGGGAGAGATGGGAGGTCTCTTCTTGTGCAACTTACGGCCTCTGAAAACCTACTGGAGGGTCAGTTCTCAGAGTAGAAGATGGAGGGAGGGACACAGGGAGTGAGGCTGCATTTAAAAAGATCAGTTACGATGTCACAGTCTAGACCAGTGAAGCTGTCAGCCCGGGAAGCGTGGATCCTCTGGCGTGCCCTGGGAAGCAGGACAGAGAGGGGGCCACGGCCGTGGATTGAACTTGCCCCCCAAGGAGGTACTGACACCTCACCCCTGTACCTGTGCATGTTACCTGGTTTAGGTGTATTTTGCATTTGTGCTCATAATTAAGTGGGATTGTGCTGGAGTAGGGAGAGGGGTTATCCTAGAACTCATCTCCCCTGACTGGTGCTTCTCAAGAAAGGAGCACAGACACGGGAACAGTCACATCACAGGGAAGATATCATTTGTAGCTGCATCTACAAACACTGAAGAATGCCAAGGATTGTTGCAGCTACAGGATGCTGAGAGAGAGGGAGGCAGAGGGGGACCCCAGAAGGAAGCTGCATGGATACCCCTATCCGAACATCTAACCTTCAGGACTGCAGACAATACATGTCTCTGGGGGGTTTGTTGTTATTGTTGTTTTTTTCCTTGTGGTGTACTACTGAATCAGATCCGACTGGCACAGGAGGAGATTGTCCTTCCTTCTCCAGTAGAGCATCTGGTGGATTAGAACTGTGCACCTTTGGGATTGCAGTGCAGCTCCTTGCCACTAGGCCACCAGAGCTCCCTATGTCTCTATTAAAGCCACATGTGCCGTTCTGCTCTTTAAACAGCCTGTGATATTTTGCTACTGCGGCCCTAAGAAACCAAGATGGCTATTTACTCCCCGTGTTGTCATTGATTGCCTTCGAGTTGAGCACGACTCATAGTGACCCTGTGAACAAAAGGCCTGAAGCCCCTCTACAAAGATCGACATTTATCAAAGTTCATAGAGTTTCCGGAGGCAAGTATTTAAGAAAGTAGATGCCACTCCTGCTTCCAAATTTACTCCACTTATTTGGTTTTATTCAAAGTCTGGGAAGACCCTCAACCAGGTGGATTGACCCCAGTGACTGCTGCAATGGGCTCTTGTGTGTCAGGAAGTGTGAGGATGGCACAGGATAGGACAGTGTTCAGATCTTTTGTTCACAGGGTCACTATGGCACCTAGCAACAACAACAACAACAACACCACAATAATCCTGGGGCATAAAATAGAAAGTCTTCCCCTGGACGGCCAAAAGAACAAACAAATCTATCTTGGCGAGGGTGCAGCCAGAGTGTTCTTTGGAGGCAAAGATGTAAACTTGGCCTCATGTACTTCCGGCATGTTGCTAAGAGGGCCTGTTCCTTAGAGAGGAACATGGTGCTTGGAAAGGCAGAAAGTTGGCAAAGGAGAGGAAGACCTTGACCAGGTGGACTGACACAGTGACTGCCGCAATGGGCTCTAATGTGTCAGGAAGTGTGAGGATGGCGCAGGATAGGACAGGGTTCAGATCTGTTGTTCAGAGGGTTGTTATGGATTGATTGTACTCAACTCAATGGCACACAACAACAACAACAGCAATCCTATAGTAGGCCTCTGGCCTGGGTGGTTAACTGTGTGAACGGCAGTGCTAATGGGCTTTCCCCAAATCTAGACTTTCTCAATGGCTCCAGAGATTTGATCAGGGCAGGGGCCATGAACTAGAAGGACAAGAGACAGCTCTCTCCTTGGCTACAGTCATCAAGTCCCATTCCAGGGAGTGTAGGGTCTCTGTGGCTGGACAGATAGGGTCCTGATGACAATGAAACCCACTTAAACATCTGGCCACCTCCAGTATTAACCTCCCATAACTCAAGACTTTTTACCTGGTGTCTGAAACAGCGCCCAGGGCAGCCAACGTCCACTTGCCCGGCTCACTTCGGCCCAGCAGGGGCAGGGGACCACTGTTGGCCTGGCAGAAACTGTCAAAAGTTGGAGCCAGTGATCTGTGCAGGATCACCACGCTGGCCCTGGATGCTTGGCGCCCTGGGTTTGGTAAGAGAAAGGACAAGGGAAACATCAAAGTCTCAGCAGCAAACAATTTTGTCTATTTACAGTAACACATTCAGAAAAGTGCAAATATTGTAAGTATTGTTGTTGGGTGTCATCCTGTCTACTTCAACTCACAGCTACCCTTCGTACAGCAACTAGAAACCGTACCAGATCCCTGTACCATTTGCACACTTTACACAGAGCCACCGGGGGGGATCTGGTGGCCGAGAGGTAAGAAGCTGTGCTGCAACCCCAAAGGCACATGGTTCGGATCCACCAGCTGTTCCACAGGAGAAGGATGGACAGTCTCCTGTGTGAGTGACTGCCTCTGAAAACCTGTTGGAGGCTCAGCTATGGGTCCATTCCAATTCGATAAACTCATTTTTGCAGTCACTGTGTCAAGACACCGCATTGAGGGTCTTCCTTTCCTTCTCTGATCTCTACTTTCCCCAACATGATGTCTTTTTTCCAAGGTCTACCCTCTTCTGATAACATAACAAAGCAGTTGAGTTGAAATCCTAGCATCCACACTTTCAAGGAGCACTCTGGTTACACTTCTCAGGCAGATCTGATTCCGAGTGAATCTGCCTAGACAACCGGTGTCCAGATCAGAAACAGAACCCTGTCAGGTTCCCAGCAAGGTGCTGCCTTCCAATCAGCACCGCTGCCTTTAAGGGAAGCCTATATCCTGCTTTCTGACAGCAAAGACAACTGTGGTCTGACCTTGAACTTCATATGTTGGAATCATTCATTATGTGTCGTTGGGTTCTTGGTTTCACTGAGCAAGATATGTGTTAGATTTATTTATGTATTTAATAAGAAGTAATTTCTTTTTCATTGCCAAAAAAAAAAAGAGATCACAATTATGTACCCAATTAATTGCTGATGGACATTTGAATAGTCTCCAACTTAAAAGGTTATTACAAACATTATTACCAGAAGATGAGTGTTGGAGGCACATTTGTATGCATTTCTCCGGACAATACACCAAGAGTCTAAGGTAAAAACAGACACTCGCTGTCAGAACAATTCACAGCAACCTTCCTTTTGGTCTCTGAGGCTGGGAGCCGCATGTTTCTCCCTCAGACCTGGTCGTGGACTTGAATTACCAGAGAACTTGGCCTTGCAGTCACAGGGCTTGGATGAATACACATACTCCACTGTAGCGGACACTTCGGCTTTCCAAAGCGGGCTGCCCCAATTCACACTCCCCAGTGTATCGGTTCATCTACATCCTCTCTGACACTTGGTTGTTCATGTTAGGTGCCATCAACTCAACAATAACTCACAGCCATCCTGTAAACAACAGGCGATCCTGCTGTCTCTTAGGTCCCTGACAAGCATGGTATCTGCTTTCTCTTGCAGGACCTTCTCAGGCTTGGTTATCACTCCTGGGAGACAGCAGGACAATAACAGGTACCAGCGAGACAAAAAGACCAGCTCAGGGTGGGGAGACTTGCCTTGAAACACCATCACACGAACTGGCTGTTTATTCTAGGGAAAGTTTTCTTTGGAGGGAAAAAAAAAAAATCTCTTTTTCTCCTCTGAGACGTGAACTCATCTCAGAGCTGGCGCGGTGGGTTATGAGAACACCGAATGAAGTGCTAGCACAGAGGGTGGTGCTGTGTCCCAGGAGACCGGAGGACAAGCATCAAGAAGGCAGTTAGGTCTGATCCGCTGGTGTTTGCTTTTAGCTATACTGAAACCCCTCGAGTCAATTTCAACTCCCAGCGACCCTGGAGCACAGAGAGGGACTGTCCCCCAGGATTCTGAGGCCGTAAATCTTCACGGAAGCAGGCGAACTTAGCCTTCTGCCACTGAGAGGCAGGCGACTGTAAATCACTAACGTTCTGGTGAGTAGCATAAAGCTTCAACCCCCAGACACAGCTCGGCGGCAGCTCCCTCCGTGCCACTGAGTTCGTTCCAGCTCATAGCAAGTCTCCGTTGGGTTTCCAAGACTATCAACCTTGAGAGGAGGCTGCTAGGTGTCATCAGGTCAACTCTGACTCACGCTGCGGACACCAGCTCAGAACCTTGCCCTCCCCTGTGCCATGCTCACCACGTTCCAGCCCAGTGCTGCAATCACTCTGCCAGTCCGACCCCCTGATGGTCTTCCTCTCTCACTGACCCCCTGCTCTGCCCAGTGTGATGTCTTTTTCCCCAAGATGAGCCTCTTCTGACAACATGCTCTACATCATCTTCGCCTCCAAGAAGCACCCCGGTTACATTTCCCCCAAGACAGATTCATTTGTAGTTTTTGCAGTCTATGGGGTATCCAGTACTATTTACCAACATCACAATTCAAAGGGATAAACCCGCCTTCAGTCTTGCTTTGTCCAACTTTCACAAGCCTATCAGTGAAACAATTGAAAAGACCATGGGTTGCGTCAGCTGCACTTTTTAGTCTTTAAACTGATATCCCTAATCTTTAGCACTTCAAGAAGGTCCTGGGCAGCAGAGTGGCTCAGTGAAATAGATGCTTTGATTTCCTAACTGTTGCTACCATGGGTGTGGATTGTTATTCCAAGTACAAGGAAATCTTTGACAACTTCGATCTTTTCTCCATCTAGTATGATGTTGCCTATTGGTGCAGTTGTTGTTGTTGTTATGTGCCATCATATAGCAACTCTCCGTCTCACAGTGACCCTGTACGCAGCAACTCTGAAGCCTGCCCTGTCCTGAGCCAGTCTCACTAATCCTGACACACCAACCCCACTGTCCCAGTTACGGTATCAGGCCATCTCATGCGGGGACTCCCTCTCCTGCACTGTCCCACCACTCTCCCAAACATGATGTCCTTCTCATTGGTCCAGCAGTAAGGATTTTTGTTTACTTTCTTTTTTTAAATTATTTTTGTCTTCTGGATGTTAAGATGTAATACATATTGACAGTAGTAATCTTTGATATTCTATAAAAAGTGCCTCAAATCTTCTTCATTTTCAACAAACAAGACTGGCAATCTATATAAGGTAGCTTGCCTTCCTTGAATCTTGATGCCAAATTCTTCATACAGGTGAGACTGTTCATATTTCTCCCTCAGAGCCCCTGGTAGATTTGAACCAAAGAAGCTGTTGTTTATTGCTATGTGCTGTCAAATTGAAGCCAACCTCTCACTGATGCTCTAGTGGGTTTTTAGAGGCAGTAAATCACACAGGAGGAGATTACCTGTTCTTCTCCTGCGGAGTAGATGGTGGTTTCGAACCACGTGCCTTTGGGATTGCAGTGCAGCTTCTTACTGAGACAAAGGAGATGCGAGGCCTACTAGAACCAAAAACAGTGAAACAGACAATTCTGTGAAGAATGGGTTAAAGTCTTGGTAGTCCTCTTACAGAGCTGAGGTGACCAAGCAGAACCGGGAGATGTTAGACCTGTCTGGTGAGGTTTAGATACCGAATGGTCCAACGTGCCATTTCCTCTGGGCAGTTAAGTGGTGACCAGCACTGGTCATTCAGCTAGTATGTTCCTTTTTTCCCCCCTAAAAAAATGGAATTTAGTCTTTCTTTCCTTTTTATTATTATTATTTAAATTAAAGTTTACTGAGAAGATTGATATTCCATTCAGCCTTTCACATGGATGCATACTGCTTTATGACCCTGACTACAATCCCCGCATTCTAGCTACGTTCTCCCCACTGTATCTCGGCGGTTCTGTTCCCATTCATCCTCCATCCTCTCCTTTCCTAGCTTTTGAGTTTTATCCCTGGACGAATTCAGCCTGTGAGATCCTGTGAGGTTGTGGAGTTGAAATGTCTCCAGTGCTGAGTGTGTTTATCCACCCGGTGTTCAGCTCACATATCCGTCTATAGTTTGGCTGGATGTTGTTCTAAAGTTCCAGGCTCAAATGGGCCATAGTCCATCTGACTCATAAACTGTTACTGTGATTTTGAATTTTTTTTACATTTATATCTCACTTGATCCACGACCTTCTGTGACCGCTTCCAGAGTACTATTTCCTATCTGTTTCTCTTGAATGAGCCAAAAGTCTTAAGAATTCCAAGACTCATGCAGTTGATCCTTTGAAGAAATGATGTCTTTTCTTTTAAATGTTACTGTGTGTGTGTGTGTGTGTGTGTGTGTGTGTGAGTGTGAAAATATACACAAAGAAACATACAGCCACTGTACATTTCTATACCCCTAGGATGTGGGCCAGTCTTGCTTTGTCTCCCTACACTGTTCCACCACTGTGGCCTTTGATTCTCAGAAGGGAGTTTTTTCTTAAGCACCTAGTTCACTCACCCTCAGCCATGCTGGACATGTGTCTGATGCTGAATTTCTTTTGTAGAAAGAAGCTCCTTACGGCACAGCGATGGCAGGACCTCAGGGGGAACATGGGGTGGGTCTTGGGCTGCAGAGGGTTTGAGAGAGGAAGACAGGCAAGGGGACAAATTAGAAGGTGTAGGTTCTGGGGTGGAGGGTACCCCCTCCAGCTGTCCTGGCCTTGCTCTTGGAGGGGGGGGGATAGATTACCCAGCCAACAAGGTAAGGACAGGCTTACTTCCGCTCACCCACTCATCTGTCAAGAACATTTTCACACTCTCTCATTACAGATGAACGAGTAAGCACCAGTAAGCGGGTGTTTATCCTGTCCACTGGGTTCTCCGCCCCTTCCAAGGATCATCTATTTGAAAAGGGGCTTTGGTTCTGTAGGGAGGTGCCGCTGAATTGAGAGAGAGACAGGCTCCTGTCAGCCTAGAAGCAGAACCTTTGACATGGTCAAGTTTATTCCAGGTTAGGAAGTAAGCACAACTCTGGCCATGCTTACCCTGCTGATTGGGTAATCAGACACTGGGGGTGTGTTCTGAGCTGGTCTCTCCACTCCTGTCTCAGTTGCTAAGGAGAAATGTCTCCACTTGCTGACCTTGGCTCAAGCCTTCTCCTGGCCTGGCCTGGTCTCACTCTGTCCCTCGCTCTCTCATTCCTTCCTCCCTGGAGGCTTGTCCCTGTGGAGCCACTCAGCACCCACGACCTCTGTCAAGTGGCCAGCAGGCTCGCAGCACCACTCATTTTGGCCTGGAGTCACCCCTGGCCTGGCATTCATTTCCCTCTGCTCAGCCTCTCTCCCTGAGTGACCCCGAGGGCTTGGGGGGAGGGCTGTTCCTCGGGCTTCTCTGGCACGTTCCAGAGGCCTGATGGTGAGGAATTGTGCTGTCAACCACGTGGTGCGAATCTGGGAGGTGCTGTGAGGGAGAATGAAGAGCAACGAACTCCCGTTTGATTTACTGCCTCTGAAAACCTGCTGGAGGGTCAGCCAGGAGTCAGTTCTGACTGAATGGTATTCAACAACAACAACAACAACAACAAGCATTCACTAAGTGCCAGCAGTACTTATAATCGAATGAACAAAGGAGTGAGTACAGCTCACAAGAAATCAAACAGCTGATTCTCTGACTACACTGGAACCATATGAATTCGTTCTAGGTCTCCAGGAAGTGGTTGTATAGTTTTCCTATACATTTGCTCCCTGTCTCCACTCAGGTGTCTTACACAGATTTCCAGTGCCTGGATGGATGAATGACACGTTGTTTTTGTTAGGTGCCGTTGAGTCGTAGACGACTCATAGCAACCCTATCAACGAAAGGCCAGAGCACTGTTCATAGAGTTTCTGGAGGCAAGGCATTTTGGAAGTGGATGCCACTCCTGCTTCCAAGCTTGTTTTAATCGGGGAGCTCCACCAAACACTGTCCACCATGGATGACCATTGTCACATTTGGCACATCAGTGCCACAGTGTTTAGCATCACAGCAATCACGAGTTACCTCTGTACAGCAAATGCACAGACCAGTGCTAGACCACCTAGAAGAATATTTGACAAAAAAATAATTTGAACCAGGCCCGAGGGCTGCAGAGACTCAGAGTGGAGTCATCCAGGAACAACGCATGACAAATAGTGCAGGGGTTTGTTTTGATTTGTTTTTAAAAGAGAGGTGGTCACAAAGATTCAGAAAATCACTCTCCAAACCCCACTGCCCTCCAGCTGACAGTGACTCACAGCAACCCTGCATCAGGTGTCTCAGTTTGTAAATCTCAATGGGAGCAGATGGCTTCATCTTTCACCTACAGAGTGGCTGGTGAGTTTGAACGAGTGACCTTCTGGCTGATAGCCTTTTATTTATCTCTTCTACACTCCCACGGCTTCTTAAATTCTCAGAAAGGAACTTTATAAATGGATGTCTTTGTACTCTAGAAAGTGAGGTGTCAAGAACTAAAAGCTAGTGTACCTGATCCAGGTCGTAGTCTTTTCAGTAACTTGCTATGCATCGGAGAGCTGGACAATCAATGACAAAAGAATTTATGGCTTTGAGCTGTGGTGCTGGAGAAGAACACTGGATAGCTATCTCACGGACGGCCAAAAGAACAGATAGGTCTCAGAGAAGGTGCAGTCAGAGTGCTGATAAAGATGATAAAGCTTCATCCTACCTACTTTGGGTCCATTCCTAGGAGAGGCTGTTCCTTGCACTTGGACATGATGCTTGTAAAGGTGGATGGTCAGCAAAAGAGAGGAAGACCCTCAGCCAGGTGGACTGGCACAGTGACTGCAGCAATATGGTGAGGGTGGCACAGGACAGGGCAGGGTTCAGATCTGCTGTTTATAGAGTCGCTATGAACCACACTCAACAGCATGTAACAACAAGAAGAGACACTGAAATCCCAAGGAGACCGTTACCAGGGATGAGAAGGGGGAAAGAGGGGGAGGAATGATTAATCAGTAGATAAGTTGAGTAGGGGAGGGAAGGAAACGTACAACAATGAATAAATAAGATTTTTTAAAACATAAAAAACAAGTTGAACGAAAGGAAAGGTAATAATTAATAAGGGGTTGATCAGACATTGTAAAGCATTAGTTACATTAATCATAAAATGTACATGAGTGATTGAAAAGCTCTCATGATTTGCATGCTGGTGACTCAGGATAAACGCCACCCCAGGAAGTTTAGTTCTCCTCTGCACACACGGCCCCCCTGCCCCCAACCCCGTGAGCTAGAACTGACTTGATGGAGACGGGGCTTGATGGATGGAGACGGGGCTTGATGGATGGAGACGGGGCTTGATGGATGGAGACGGGGTTTGATGGATGGAGACGGGGTTTGATGGATGGAGACGGGGCTTGATGGATGGAGACGGGGTTTGATGGATGGAGACGGGGCTTGATGGCTCACTGTGTTGGCCACCACGGCACCACTGCCAGTAGAGCTGCCACCAGCATGATCCTGACTTGTGGTGACTGCATGTGTACTAAAGTCCAGGTGAGATCCCTAGGGCTTCCAGTGGTTGTTTTTCAAGAGTAGATCTGCAGGCCTTTGTTCTGAAGTGCCTCTTGATGAACTCGAACCTCCAACCTTTCAGTCAGCATCCAAATGTATTAACTGTTGGTACTATCCAGGGAGTTGCCAAAGCACAACCCTTGTCTGCTAATCTAAAAACACCCAGGGTCTATGGTGGTGCTGGGAACACAGAGGGAGCTCTGTAAATGTTAGAGAAGTGACTGGCAGAATGAATCTGTTAGGTTAGTGGACTTAAAGAAGAAATCAGAGAGAACAGGAGAAAGCTTAATGCAGCTTTATTAAAGGGGGGGACGGGGAGCTCCTGGGTGAGTTCCTCATCCTGGAGAGGCAGCATGGGAAGTCACACTGTGAACTTACTGGGGAGGATTTTTATAAACAGAGTCTTTAGGGAGGGACATTCCACTCTGATTTATGAGCTACCTGCTAGCTTAGCCAGACAAGCAAGGCCATTTGCTCCTCTTATCAGCAGCAGGAAAGGCCATCAGCATTTGAGTTCTGAATTCTTCATTCTCTTTGGCCCCCTTTGCCCAGACTTAACAGAATCCAATTCCAGAAGTGTATGTCTAAGTAAGTAAGTAGAAGTAAGTGTCAGGCCATAGTCTTTCCTGCTATGCATCTGAAAGCTGGACAATAAACAAGGATGACAGGAAAAGAAGTGATGCCTTTGAGCTGTGGTGCTGGAGAAGAGACCTGAACAGCACATGGATGACCAAGAGAACAAACAGCTGTGTGTTGGAGAGGGTGCAGCCGGAGTGCTCTTTGAAGCCAAGAATGATGAGGCTTTGCCTTGCATACTTTGGGTGTGTTGCTAGGAGGGGCTGTTCCTTGGAGAGGGACACGATGCTGGGAAGGATGGAGGATTGGTGAAGGAAAGGAAGACCCTCAAACAGGTGGATTGACATGGTGATTGCTGCAGTGGGATCTTGTGTGTCAGGATGGCGCAGGACAGGAACAGGTTCAGATATTTTGTTCATAGGGTCGCTATGAGTCATACTCGACTTGACAGCACCTAACAACAACAACAACAATTCTATCAGATGTGCTCTACCAGTGGCTGAGTGAGATGATACAAGTACATGGTAGTACTGTTTGTGAGAGAAAAGATTTAGAAACAACGTAATCTAGTGGTAAAGAGTTGGGCTGTCAAACAAAAGGCAGGTGGTTTGAATCCACCTGTTGCTCTGCAGGAGAAAGACAGGTAATTGCCTCCCAGGTGATTTAAAGCCTCTGAAAACCCACTGGAGGGTCGGCTATGAGTCGGCTCAGAATCAATGGCATAGCAAGAACAACAGTAAGTACAATACAGTACAAAACAATACAATACAATACAGTATAATACAGTACAATATAGTACAATACAATACAACACAACACAACACCACACAATACAATATAATACAATACAGTATAATACAGTACAACACAACACAACACAGTACAGTACAATACAGTATAATACAGTACAGTACAGTACAATGGCATAGCAAGAGCAACGATAAGTACAGTGAGAAGTGAATGAGTGGAGAGCAAACAACTTAACTATGGTGCACGCACATCAGTGGGGTACTATGTAGACTTTAAAAATAATGAGGCAACTCTGATGTCACAGAAAACAATCTCCCAAAGATGTAAAATCAGCAAGATGGGTGGAGGGTCCTGTGTCAGATGGCACAGCTCACGTTATGTTTGTATTCCCCTAGTCCGCCTCAGGAAGGATTGAGAAGGGCCTGGGAACACTGGTGCCTGAGGGGAGGGACTGAGTAGAGGGGAAGCTGTTGGGAGCTCTGGCTGCCACCAGGATCTCTGAGTGAACGACACCCTCTGGGGTTGTGCAATGTGGTGACCATCATTTTTTGCACTTTCTGAGTTGCACAAGTACACACAAGTACTATGTAATTGAAAAGTGGAGTTTAATTTTAAACTATGTTGTTTTTGTGATGTGCTATCGAGTCACCTGCACCTAATAGCAACCCTGTGTACAATAGCTCTGAACCCTGCCCTGTCCCGAGCC